CTATCTGATTTTTTTCAGTCAAGTTGAACTTCATCACTGTAAACTATCAGCACACTGTATGTGCCTCAGTTTATTCTCATGTAAGCCTTCAATAAATTCAATTGTCAGTCCTCTGCAGGAAGTGAATTTTACCCTGACTAGTATCTCCTTTCCCATTTCCTTGTTAAGCAAAGGAGCTAGAAAAAACACAGGCATTCATGGATCTCACTTCAGGGGTATCATTTAAAGATTCAGCCAGTAAAACAATTGACATGATACTTGCTCTCCTGCTTCTACATAAAAAGCAGAAGGGGTGACAAAAAGGTAATGCAAGATACCCTTTCTCATAGAAGAGATACCACTGATTGTCTCTCACAATGATGCCTTAGAGAGGGGTTCACTTGTGCTCTACAAAATGACTGATTTTAACTTTTTTTTGGTTCATATGGTGACTTCTATTCACCCTTTATCATTATGCTGACTGCCTTTAAGAGTGCCAACTTTTATACCTCACTTAACTATTCTGTGAAGGTGTATCTAAGTAAAAACACACTCAAATAACGAAGAGTCTGAATTGTTGCAACTGCCATTATTATTTAAAAAAATACTGTAATGTTTAACCCATTAAAGTCTTCAAATACATGAATAAGTCTACATAATTAAAATGATCATAAGACATGCATATAATTAACATGATGTCACATACATTTACAGTATTCAATATGCCGTAAGCATACCTTAAACACAAACCCGTCTGGCAATGTGTTTAAACACTATACTTACTTTTCTGCTAACAATTTTTTAAGATCATGGTTTTTGAATGCATATTGCATTTTCTTCAGGCACAGACCTCAGTTTATATTTTGAAACAATATATGTGATAGGACAAGGATGCATATAAGGAAGTTGAAGTTAAATTAAAAGCAGGTATGAGCATGTATTTTATTACAGAGAATCAGACAAGTAAGATAGTAAAATTTGACTTCTTGTCACATTGAATTTTCTTTCACTACTCCATTATGGGAAACAGCATTTTTATAATGTAAATTTTATAGAATCATCCCCAGACTAAAGTCTGTGGCATTCTGCTGTAGCCCCCCAAAATTACTTATACAATCCCACTGACTCAAACTGAAGCCACTCATTTAATTACAACACTATACAGAACGAAAAACAAGGATCCTTTCAGACTTTAACAATGTTTTAATGTATTTTAGTCTGTATTTTACCTATTGGTAGTAGCTTAATGAAATTGTATGACGTTATCCTATTGAACTTAATTAAGTCTGTTTTATCTGGGCAGCACCTGAAAGGAAGTTGCATGCAGCAACATTAGTGGAGCACAGCCATCTTTTGCTGCACAGAAGTGAGACTATTCAACTTAGAAAAGTTGGATCCTTATATGGATAAAATCTCAGGCGTCTCACGTGCACAAGAAAGGCAATATGCAGTGAGCCTGGCTGCAAATTCAGAGCACACCAGCTTCCCCATGCTAACTATGTAGTCACTTTCATCATAGGTAATTTGGCGAGTTCCATCAGAGAGCAATTCAGCCCACTTACAATCTGAATCATCTTTTGTCAGTGTCTGCCTCTTTCCAGTGACTACACAGGGAGTCCAGGTAAATTAGGTTTATCGCTTAAGGTGATTCCGTTAAATGACTAAAATTACAGCTCTTCATAGCTATGTCTATCCTTACCTTTTGGGGCATGACTGGGATTTTAGTCCCCTGGTCATTCATATAAAGAATCTGTGGAGAAACACCACTGTTCCTGCCTGGGAGCCATACAATTTCCATGGAAATCAGAAGATGGTGATGGACAGGAGGTAAACTCTGCATTCTTAAATCTTATCTGGGATTTACTGTGTCTTACCTGTGTCTACCAGACACAGAACTGGGATGTGACTAGGAAGTAGATGTCTAGAACTGCTGGTCTACATGTAGCAGTAGTATAGTAATTCTGAGTTACATCAGTTTGGAATTTTAATTAAAAAAAAAAATCAGATTTGACTAGGTTTTTCTAATTCTGCAGTCAGTTTGCTCTTTCTGCCTGTATTTTTCTTGAAGTATAGTCACTGTGTATCTGCAATTAATTATTGCCATAGAGACCCACCATGGTTACCACTTTTGATCTTTCAATTATTATGATTTGAAAAATGGACCATAACAAATGCTACCATATGAAAAGTCATTCCTTCTCCTGATAGAGAACACTACAGCATATAAGTACTTCCAAATTGGTTTTCTGAAAGTGATTTAGACTTTAAAGAGTCATAGAGCTAATATAAATAAATGAAGCAAAACAACAATGACAAATAAAGCACTTATCTCTAGAAAAATGTTTTTGAACCAGAGGCTCAATATTACTGTAGAGACATTGCAGTATTGAAAGATTTATATTCTGAAATCTGTGAAATGCTGTCATCAGCAATAGCACAATTTTGTAATTTTCCAAGGATGATATAGGATGCTGAGTTCTTGTGAAAAACAGAGACAGGAAGCAATCTCATAAGCCATCTGCAAAGTACTCTGAATAGTCTTTAAAGTACTGAAATGCATTTGTTATCATGTGCATATGTTATGTGTACTGAAAGTACTGAAATGCATATGTTATCCATATATTATCATATGGATCACATCGGAAGTCAAAGCCTTTTAAAAATCAGAAGGAAAAAATCTGAATATAGTATCAGAAAATTTGAAATCAGTATCAGCCTGAATCTTGAAGAAATGCAAGAACAACTACTGAACTCCTGCACTGGGGAAAACTAAGAGGAAAAGAAAATACCTGCCTGCAAGGATAATCTTCTTTGAAGCAATAGTCTAAATATGAACCTACTCCTATAAACTAACCAAAACCAAATGGTTATATTTAGACTACACAAAACAATGAAGCAAAAATGGCAATATGTCAATTACTTCCTAGACATTATATAAGCTACCAAAATATTTCACAGAAAAATGGAAATACACCTTAAGTGTAGAAGTGGGGCCAAAAACATCTTGAAAAGATACTTCCTTAGTACAGAGAAATAAACAGAAGCTTACCTTATGCATTTTTATGAAGACCTAAGCACAATCAGCTTCCACTACAGTTGCTACCTCACAGTTCAGAACCTTCAGAAGGAGCATCATGCAGACTAGCAGGAAAAAGTGCAGGACCTGCCATCAGAAGCATCCCTGGTTTGCTGGCAAGGCCTGAGCAACCAGCACGAGTGAGGTTTTGGAAAGTTGCAAGTTGTATAATCACAAGATTATACAAATTATATAATCACAAGACTATATTGTTTCCTCCCTCTATTTTCCATGTTTGAAGCCCAGTTTTGTGTTGCTGTGTAAAAGCTTTTGTCAAAGTTTAAGGAACTGAGGAACAGCTCAATTAGTTGTTGCAAGCTAAAATCCCAGGGAAAGACACGATACAAAGGCAATTAAAGAATGCTATGTAAAAATTGGAAATTTTTTTCATGTATTTCAAGCATCAGGGAGAGAGTCAGGTTCTTAAACATCAGCATTAAGTACCATTTTAGACACCCTAGAGGACCTGGAATATGTCCATGTGGGAGACCCATGCTCTTCTGGCATGGTAGGTGGAGCTGAGGGAAGATTCTCTAAGGCAGCTAAAATGACATTTGGCAGACTGCCAAATCTTAAATGTCACCTGAGAGATTTAAGACTTGTAGAGTCTCATAGAGTCTTAAATCTCACCCTGACACAGAACTGGGAAGTGATTAAGATGTACATGGCTAGAACTGCTGGGCTAAACATAGCAGTAGTATAGTAATTCTGAGTTACCTCAGTCTGGAAGTTTAATTTAAAAAAAAAAAGGAGACAAAAAGAGATCTGACATACTACTAACTTCTAGATGTAACGAAATATTTGAGGTTCAGCAAAGTGAGTTATAAGCCTGGGCCTGCTGGAATTTGCACAGTCAAAGACATATCTAATGGTGAGTGTTGAGGCTGCTTGTGCTAGGCCATTCTTTAACACGGAGAAAGAGTTATACCAGAAAATGAAAAGTGTAAGGAAACACTGCAATCAAGTAAAATGTTATTAGCTGAGAAAAAAACAACCAGGTAGTGCAGCAAGACATGGCTGCGTTTGGTTGCACCACAAATAATGTTGCAAGAACAGACAGCTAAGGTTCCACATGTGATTTTAACATTTTAATTCCACACATTTTGAATAATTAACAGCAAAAATAAACATTTTATTGGGTTTTAGGCAGCATCAGGTATTTTTCTAACTACTGAACTCGCAAGGTCTACTGTTCGAACAGTAGACAAGGTGTTTGAAAGGTATCCAAATCCAATGCTTGGTTGCCTAAATCTGTACTAGGATGCATAAATATCCATTTTATGACCTCAGGTGTCAAAGTGCCAGAACACAACTATAGAATATTGTTTATAGACATTTTACAACTGGTTTGTTGAGAGTCTGGAAATTTATTTGCTTGAAGGAAGTTTTTTATTAACAAGTTGATAGCACTGTCAAAAGGAATATAGGCTAGCATAACTTACCATTCTATTACTTTTACTTGTAAATCCAATTATTTTACAGAATCAGTGCTATGAAAAATTCAGCATTAGAGAAACCAAAGACAAAGCCAAAAAGCATTAAGAAATTTCTGAAGAAAGAGTCTTTCATTCATTTAAAGAGTACCTGTGAGTAGGGCATGTAATAAACAGCTTACTTCCCCTTATGTGATTTTTACTTTATTTATAAGAGCACCCTCAGTTTGAGAACTATTATCCTTTGACACTTTCCAATATTTTTCTTTGCAATCCTGAAAACAGCAAGGTCAACAAAGAAATATTTAAGTACTTTTGAAAATAAGATAATATACCTAGAATTCCATAAATTAGACATAAATTTTGTTATTATCTACTCTATACAGCAATCCAGCTATTGGTAAATAAGTATACAACAGAAATCAAATTCTCTTAATTGTATTTGAAGGCTTCACTCTGTAAAAATGACTGTAACTTTTTTCCTGAGCACTTACAATGTATTTTTTTATGTTTTACAAAATGCCATCAAATATTCCAAGAAAGGGCTTGACATCATTGATTTCATCATCAAGAAGGTATCTAATGAAGATTAAGCAAATAAAAAAAAAAATTAGGTATAGTGCATCAAAACCTATGAAATCAGGAACACTACACAAAGTACAGTCAAAAGATAAAGACAACCAAAATAATTTTGAAGAATTTTCCTTTCTAAGAAAAGTGAATTGCTACTATTATTGTGAAAATTCATCTTTTTAAAATTAACACATTGCCTAAAGGTCTGTGTTCCATGAAGAACTAAGCACTAGACACTGAGGTAACAGAAATACATGCACAACTTCTTATTACCTGGGATCCACTTCTTTTTCCTGATCTTTTGTGAAAATAAAAAAATCCTCTTTCCTAGTGAATTTAGAAGAGTGTGAAATTATTTCTGAGACTGAAGAACACTGTACATGTTGCAGCTCTTGTGAAGGATTTGAATACTTTTTTTCTTGACAACTGGACTGCAATGTAAATGTTAAAAAGTGTATATGGTTAAAATAACTAATCAAAAGAGAAATTGCCAGATTGTTGTAGTACGTAGTACAGATATGTATATTGATATTATGGTGTTTAACACAGACCAAGCACATGACAAACATAATTATATACTGTATGACTTGCAGAATCACAATCAAATTGAGTAAATAGTTTTGCTATGTATTGCTTATTTGCTATAAGTCATGCTATAAACTAAATCCAAATCCTAGTTCTTTCTATCATGAATATCACACTGAACACAGGATGCATGCATGTTTGGACAACACAGAAAGGTTCAGAAACTCAGTTCAGAAACTGATTCATAACTCAGATATGGTAAATATATTTACACATGAAATACTCTAGTTATAGGAAATTCTGTTATCAAAATACTTTTACTCACCATATTTGTATTTCCACTCTGTACAGATAAATTCGCTTTTGATGTGCTCTTAACCACAGGAACAACTGAGTTCTGGATATTGGTCTCATCCTGTAATGCGCGTGAACTGAAAATATCAAGTTGAATAATTTAAGTATTTTTACAGAAGTGCAAAATTATTTACTTTTCAGTTCAGGATTTTCTATTTATTTCCCTCCACACTTAAATAAAAAAAAAATTTCAAATTATTCAACAATTCATACCTTTTAAAAGTTGAAATTTTGCTCACTTTTACGAGTGAACAACCTCCTATACATTTAATTATACAGATACATATGAAATACAGACAATATTTTTAACTGAATGAAATTGTAATAAATTATGTAATGCTTACTCTTTTGAAGTGTCCTTTGTGGCTTTGCTTCTTGTATATTGGCAAAGTGGTTCACACTCATCTGGAATTTGAAGGCAGATATTTCCATGTTCCATATAAGAATGAAAGTTTGAAAAACGGAGTCACAAAACAGCCAAACCCCCTTGTAAATATTTTACATAATCTGATAAGTAACAGTTTGAAAATTACTGAAAAGTCTTAACACTTGAAATATTTCTTCTGTGGGTTTTGGGCTAATGTAAAGATAAGCAGAGATGAGCAGTCAGATAAATTAACAAATATGCAGTTGCAGACCATCCAGAATTTTTTTTAATTATGACTTTCTCAACTCTCCCTTTGATATTAGATTTGTCTCACCATAGGTGACATTCAAGGTAGAGTAATAAACCTGGTAGTCAAGTCAATTAACCAAAAAATTTCAGGTAGTTCTATTCATTGTATACTTTAATAAATTATTCTCAAATAATAGCCTGTAAAATAATTTGTACGTAGCGAACAATGAATTTTTAAAAAATAACCTTACCTAATTCTCTACTGGCAAAGTTGCTAGCAAATACTAATTTTTCATCATCAATATCATCCCAAACGTCATCTCTCAGTTCAAGATCCACATCCAAAGCATCTGAAAAACAATTTGGTTTTATCTGTATCAGTCAGGTTATGCATTAAAGATTTTTAAGATTTTTTTCTCATGCCATTATCTCTTGACTCTTCTCACTCACAAAAACTGAATATTTCCAAGAGAAAGCCGTTCTACATTTGTAACGCACAAGTACAACAAAAACTTTTCTATATTTTACAACCAGTTGTTCAATCTCTTGAAAAGGAGGATTGTCATATATGCACTTTTTCCTCAGCGTTATTTTCAGAAAAGTTATCCTCCATGTAGATTGTACAAAAATCACTGCACTTTCATTCTTTCCCTTTGTGAGTAGTAGTTTGATTCCAAATTTAATACTTTTAATTCAGCCCTTTCTTCTCTCGTTTTCCAAAACACTCTGAATGCTGTCTTCCTCCCATACATCTAATGCCTAAGAACTAGCCACGACAGACACGTTTTCAAGCATTGTTGTTAATATTCTTAATTAAAATGTGATAGTTAATGTTTTAAAATACTTTTTTCCTGGTGCAAAGACCACCTTCCTGTTTCCTCTCTTACTCTGTTTCCCCTTTGTTTGTTGTATTCTCTCTTTTAATCACCAATCCAATCTCTCTGCTAATTTTTTTCATCTCTCTTCTGCCATACTACCTTCCAGCATCAGACAGTGCTGGAATCTTCATTGTTGTCATGGCCCTAATAAGCCTGAGAAACCCTGATCCAAGTCTCCCTTTCAACAGAGGGGGAGCAGGACAGGCTCAAATCAAAAATCCCGTTCCACTGACACTGGCAACACCAGGAAGGCACTGCTGTTGTAATTTTGGATGTGCACAGTCAGCACAGTCCGTTATTGCACAGACACACAGGCTTTAAATAATTATAGGCTAAGGTTACTACAATTTCACAGTATACTCTTAATTACCTACAATTTTTTGTATGGAATGGAAAGATACCATATTATAGATCCAGTTAACCCTATAAAAATCATATGAACTGAGGCCTTACTTCATTAGAACTATTTTTGATGCACTTTAAAAATGCAGCTGGCCCAATCAATATGGCTGAGGTTACCTCTTCTGCTACTATTCAATCGAGATGGTTTTTAGTCAGCAAAATCTACTATGTCCCCTTGATCCTGTACGATTTGCCTCAAGATGTTCTTAAGCATAGGCTATAGCAATACTGGAATATCCATCTGTCTTCCCATGACTTTATTCTTTTAACACAATCGTATCATACACTAACTGCCTGCCTCCCCCACCGATTATATGGCTATGCAACAGTTTTCCTTCTTAAGACTAGATAACAACTATGCAGGTAAATTAGTATGGCAGGAACATATGAAGCATTAATTTAAAGGAACAGGATTACAATCCCATCGTCAAAATATTAAGTAAAAATGTAATTATACAGTATAGCTACCAATACTTAAGGAAGTATGAACTAAAAACATTTCAATTCATTTCAGCACAGTGTTTCTTGTATGTCTGAGTATAATCTAAACGCTGGAGTTGCTACTTATTAGCCAAATTAATGAAAACCTGATTCACATCAATCTATTGTCACCAAATACAATGGCAAAAGGCATGCAGTGAGGAAAACATCGTAGTTACATACTGATAATGACAACTGATCATTTAACACCAAACGTGAAAATATTTGTGGCTTTTCCAGTAGAAGAGGAAATTTTTTTTCAGGTAGAGATGTTTTACTAGTTATGAACTCAGTTACTGAATGGTCACATTTTGTCAACTACCAAACAAAAGCTCCTATTTCACTAACTTCTTCCAGTAGAAAAGGAAAAGAAGAAAACATATAGATACAGAGGTAAAATACCTCTTGTATTATAAGTGGTTTCAGCAGCAATAAATTACAGTCATACCTTTCAGGAAGTATTTATAGGTTTGAACCCTCATATATTTGAGGTAGTCATTACTGTTTTATTTAAAGGTATATTTAGATGCTTAGGTCTACATTAGAAATTCTTACCGATACCAGAAAGAAAGCCAATTAAGGCCACTATATTTCCCTATACATTCAGTGTTCTATATTGCTATACTGGTTGCTGTAGTGATTTCAGCAAGTTTCTGTTTACAAGCATATTCAAACCAAAACAGTGAAAAATCATAATTTCAAACATTAGCAATGACTTACTATTTTTTCCATAATTCCAAGATTGCAGTTGTTTCTGAGACACTGCTAAGCTATTAACGTTATCTAGCTGGTCCACTGAAGGTGATGAAGATGCCTGTTTATTGCTAGACCTATTAAAAAAATAAAAGCAGTGACATGTCAGTAAAACACTTGCAGAAAGTTGCAAGATAATTTTATTCAGAAAACAGTTTTTTAGTTGTTACAACTTAACATACTATCTGAAATAAGACAGATTTCTTTTTTGTTACTTATACTAATCAGTACCTTGGCAATGCCGGCAACAAAGATTTAGGTGTAAAAACAAATTGTTTGAGATCCACATTTTGAGCTTGATTTAACATCTGCATCTAAAGAAAGCAAGTTATTGTCACTGATAAAATATAAATATATTGTTAAAAAACAACAGTTTGCAATCTTAATGACATCATTGATACTGTATCAAGGTAGCGAAATTTTTAAAGATCGTATCTAAAATCTTTCTGATATCTGCTTATCTAACGTAATCAGTTAAAAAGGTTTGAATTACATGCTTCTAATGGAATTATCCAAGTACCCTGGCAAAGTCAGACTGGTTATCACTAACTCTGATCTGTATTAGCTATAGGCTAAATCATTCTCTATTGCAAACAAGCAAGTAAACAAAACCATAAGAAGGAAATAAAACACTCTTGGTATCTCAAATGCCATTCTTGCTGCAGAGAGAACTAGTTTAGTACTACATTCAAAGGGATAAAGTGTAACCCATGAAATCTTTCAGAGGTTAAAAACTAATGTGGTTGGTTTTCTTATAAACAAGTGGATCTACCTGCCTATGCAAAAAGATCTTAGTAGCATTACTCTGATAAATACCACTGTTTCCATTCAGGTTATATTTTGCCAAAACCAAGTCACAGGACAGTACCTTCCAATGATGCCTCTGTACCTCACCCACCACAATCTAACAAATGCTATAAAAGTAAAACCAAAGAGTACATGCACAGCAGTGGAACCCTGGAAGCGTTCCAAACAGCAGCAGAACCTCTCGAAGATTGCTGGACCTTCGGTACCTTTACATTTCTTTGCTTTTTGCATTCCACACAGAAAATACAAACTTAATTTTATAACTAAATATGAACATTCATCTCTGCAAACAATATATACAAATACGTAACAGTAAAATAAATCTATTCAATGGCTGACTATTCAAATGAACCTTTAACCGTTTTACTGGGAGTACAGATGAAATTGAGTTCCTGCTCCTTAAATCAGCTAGATACAAAGAAAACTTTGAATCTCCATTCATGTCAGACTTTGGAGGTACTCCAGTTTTACCTGAGAAAAGGAATTAAAATAATCTTCAGATTAGTTAAGAAAGGATAAATTCTAATTCTTTCCAAATGAATGGAAACTTTGCCCATAAGCTTAGTATCTTCTATTAAAAGGTCCTAAAAGATTTAACACACCAATATTTATATAAAAGTGTAACAAGTTTGACATTGCTCTTAAATCATATGCTAGATGTACTGAAAAATATTATTAATCATTGTAGTGCCTATAAAAGTGTTATTGACAAAACTTTTTGTTACTGCTTTTATGACTGCCTCATAGCAACAACTCAGGCCTGACTCTCTTGCTTCCATTGCTCCTGTTAATGTAGCTGTTGGTATAAATGAGGCTATTCTAAACTATGTTTGTCTAAAAGTAACAGAAATAGTAGATTTAATGAAACTCACAGCAGTCATGTCCACACACATCTTTATTTTTACAGCGATGGTTGCATTCTCTGTTTCCATATTTCTTGTAAGTGATTTCTTGTTTCGATCTGCCTCCTAGATAAGTGTAATACAAAAATGCTCATTTTTCAGTTGAGAGAGTACTTCACGCAGTAAAAGACAGGCTAGAAGTAATCTGGATCACTAGAATTTTGTTGCCTTCAACAAAACTTTGGGCTGCTCAAACAATAAAATTAGAAAGAAATTAATCAATGCTACTGAAAAACAGGAGGACTACCACATTCCCAAATTCAGGTAATGTTAGATACCAAACACCCATTATTTTTCTTATTTTCAAATTTATTAAATAATTGCACTGTAGTACTTGACAAGTGGAAGTAGCAGCACTATATTTTTATTGTTCTTGAGAGAGAAACAATGTGGATAAACAAAGATCTAGCTCTCTACTGAAAGCAAAATGAAATTTTCTGTTGACTTTGGTATTAGCCAGATGTTGTTATCTGACTGTTTACCTGTATCTACTTTTGCTGCTGGCAGACTTTGTGGTGAGCCATAATTCGTACCAAATGAAGACTCAGGTTTCCGCTTTTGATTTGTAATGACTTTACTTCCCAGTGTTTTCAGTGTTAAGTAAAAGACTGTATATGCTTGCTGTATATCAAGGCCAACTTTGAAAAAAAGACAAAAATATTTTAAATTGCTATAAACTGTTTCTAGACTACTGATTACCTTGTTTTCTAAAGAGCTTAAGAAAGTATAAATGTTATTAAAAGATCAGGGAAATTTGTTATGATAATATACCATTAAAAGCACACTATTATATGAATGGATTCTTTATGATTGAGGTTAAAAACCAGACATTTTCAGAATCAAAGACATGGCTTCTAGATGGGTAACAAAATTAGTCCCTTTAACAGAATTTTTCTGTATTGCTTTAAAATTACATTTAACTATGGCTTTGCACTGACAATACAATTTTAACTTTAAAATTGTACTACAGTCTGTGTTACTGAAGTATCAGCATCTCTGTATTGGCAAAAGTGTAAAATGAGTATGTTGACAGTACTTTTGAAGTTGAATGCTAATAATGGTTCTAGTTCTAATTAAACCAAGATTCATGTGAGACTATGAGCAACACCATTTGTAAAAAGAGTATTTTTGACTTTTACTAGGCAAATATTGTTGGAAAACCAGACAGGCTTTTAAAATGAAAGACTTCCTTCAAGTCTGAAACAGAAGCAGACTTTAAAATAAGTAGAGACTAGGAAAACTTGCTTTTAGTCTAACTTCACTGTTACCAATTTCAGAGAAATTAATCGTTGTGTAGAGTTTTACTGAACTCAGTAAAATGTGTAGATAGTCAACTAGTAATTAAAGGACAATTTTTCTTCATCTCTGGTTAGAAAACCCTCCTTTTTCCTAAGCCACATGTTTAGCCACAGAAATACAGATAATTCCAGGCTTGATTACTGTAATAGCGTCAATATTCAATGTTTATCATAGAAGCACCAAATATACTTCAATTAATCCAGCACACAGCAATCATCTTTACACATGAGGCATGATGATGGAATTTAATACAGTCAGTCTATTTTTAAATTGTATTTCAAAGTTCTATGTTTCAAGGTCATCATTGCCTCTCCCCATCTGCTGCTATAGTTCCAATTCTATGGAAATTGACAGTGAGGGGACCAACGTTTAAATCTACACACCTTAAGGCCCAAAATTTTCCACTGTAAAAACTCCTTGCTACTGAAGTGGAGATGAATCTGTATCCAATACTTTATCATAATGCAAAACCTAACCATTCACAAAGACAGCTCTTCCCAGCATAAATAAAAATCCCTGCTGAAAGTTAATTCAACTTGAAGGTGAAGGGCAAAAGAGAATCCTAATCTGCATCAACAGAGCAAAATACTGTCTCCTATTAACAGTTTTGATGTTTTCCAGTTCATTAATATGCTAGTAAATGAAACAAACAGATATATAATTAGGACTGTTAGGTAATACTCAACCCAGTAAAAAATATGTAACAGAATTTTGTTTCCAGATCAGTTGTTATATTTTTGGCTAGATATAAAGTATTTTAGTAGTTTATTCAAAATTGTTATGCAGTTGCTTTCAAATTAAAAGCATACCAATCAACCTACCATAATCAGAACTAATCAGATTTATACTAATATCCTCTGATTTAAAAGCTCTTTTCACTTCAATTTTCTTCATCCAGTTTCCAGTTTTCAGCAGCACAGAATCCCTGTAATGTATCAGTAAAGTTTTGTTATACTATGGCATCTGTAACCAAGTGAGAGAGCCTTTATTTGGTCTTAGTTCTTGGATTTTGCTTGATAAGTGGCCTAAGAATAACCTTCTAATAATATACAATTTATAGGTATAAGAGAGCCAGGATCCTGCAGATCAGTTCAGTTCTGCCAAAAGTGTCAGACTTCAGCCAGAACTCACATGAAGGTCATGCAGTTGGAAAAGATTTTGTTTCTCTTTTCCCATTTTGTCCAAGCATAACTTAGCCAACTGGAGAATTTAATTCCATCTCTGAGTGAAAAAACAATTTTGACAATATAATTAAAGACATACAGCTAAGTAACAACTTAATAATGTATCTTTTTAATACGTATTTTACTTGTTTTATATTTATGTGGAAACTATTATGACTTCCATGATATGACATGAGTGTTGTACAGATATTCACAGATACACTCTGCACTGACAAGCACACTGACAAGCACACTGGCATGTTTTTTGGGTTTTTGAATCTTGTGTAGCATTTTAAATTACAACAGTGACTAGAAAATGCTGTAGGATAAAGAATAATTTTGTACCATTGTCATCAGTAGAAAGTACTGCAAAATCTGCAAGTCACAGAAAGGATTCAAAGCCAACACCCTTAAAAGATGCGAGGCAAAAAAACTTGTTCATACATACATAATTTTCTGATTAAAAATGACTTGGTTGTCAGCATCTCCTATGACCAATGTAACATAGTGAAAGTCTGTCGCTGTTCTCTTTGTCTGTAGCTGCTCATAGTTTGTTAATTTGATGGTTACTAAGATTTCAGCCAATGTATCACTGTATTTTGGAAGCTAGGAAAAAATGATAGAGAAGATGACATACCTGTTAAAATATGCAAAGTAAAATATATGGCCTTCCATGATTTTTTAACTGTTGATACAAGCACAAAACCTCAATTCAAGCAATTTCTATTTGTGGTACAATTTTTATTTGTTTTTTCTGAGACACTATCATACAGTACCAACTTGCCCATAGCTGAATATCCTGAATTTGATTAAATATTGAGAATAAAAGACAGACTACATTAAGCCCTTGAAAAATTCTCCTCTGTTCAATGCAAAGAGAAAGATGCAAGAAGAAAGCTACATATATTTCAGAAAAAAGCTAGGTATATGTTGACATCCCAACATTCCTCTATAAGATATTTATATTTGTTAAATAATACTTCTGAGAATAACTTTGGAGATACTCATCTGGTATTACGTGAAATGAAAAACTAAACTAGAACAGATCGTTAAGACAATAGTATTTCCACATATTTATTAAGTTTTAAACTTCAAAGGTGTCTTTATTTGTACCAACTTCACGTGACATTTTACGGTTATTTTTAAAATTTTGCATTTCAGAAAGGTAGAATGGCCATGTGACCTGTTTAAAGACAAAATGTGTATCAGAACCTCAAAGCTCTTGATTACACATGGAATTGCACCCTTCCTTTGAAAGGGCACCAGCTAGGTTAATGTAATAATTTACTGTTTCTTTATATCCCTAAGTGTGAAATAATAGAAAAGAAAATAAACACAAGTTAATGCTTCTTCAGTAAGTTTTATATGGATGTTTTTCTGTCTCTAGGGTTCGTTTATATTCAAGTTAGAAGAGACCTCTCAGATTCACATATAATGCTAGAATGTGGAATATACTGGTTTGTATCTGTAACAAAATGCTATTAACAAGAAAGAGAGGGCAATGTATTATAGGAAACGTTTACTCCAAGGCTTTCCTTCGATGTTTAAGTTTGATTATACATGCTAAGGTGGAAGGAAGCCACAATATCATGCAATCTTCTATCAGCAAAGGCTCAAAATTTCTTTAAGTCAATATTTACTCTTTCATTTAATAATATCAGAATAAAAACCTAAAATAAGTAGAAAAGCATTTACCTGTTCAATGTCAAGGTCATATTTTGGAAGGTGCAAAACAGATTCTTTTATCTGGTTTCCAAAAGGAGGATGTCTGTTTAAAATCTGCAAAGATTTAATTTCATTTCTGATACATTCAGCTGATCATAGATGCCAACAGAAATGTAAATTCAAATAATCAAAGTCACCAGAGTAATTATGCTGTCAACAAAAGACCTTATCACTCCTGATTCTCTACTGTCAGTGATACCCAGAATAGCAACATAACCAAAAGAAAATTCCAATACTTTTTCATGTTGCTACCACTTCCGTTCAGGTAACAGCCAACAAACTAGCTGATCACCTCAAAACCTGACTACTCAGGTTTTATATGAGTTGACTCTTCTATGTTGCCTAAGCTTTAGTCAAAACAAAACCAGTAAGAGGAAAACTGCAAAAGGGAACAGATGAAAGAAATCAAATTCCTAAAGCCAAAACAGAAAACCCAAGTATGACCAATTTCCTTTAGAAATCCATTACATCTTCCAGAACACTGGAAAAACAGTTTTCTCAGAAAAGAAGCCAAGAGCCAGAGAACTTACCCTGGGATAAAGTCTAACTTCCTAAAATAGGAAGTTTTATAGATGATTCAGAAGAATTTTATTCTATGACCATCATTAACTACAACTAATAAAAATAGAAATTCAGAATTCTTATAATTAACATACATTAAGAGAAACTGTAAATACATATTCCCTTTTATATGTTTTTCTAACACTCATAAAATGGAAATGCATATTGTCCTTTGTTTCAAACTATGTTGATGATGAAATTCTACACATTTAAGCTCGTTCCAAAACGAGCCAAATCAGTGAAATCATCCACATTAAACTTGCTAGAACAAGACATCATACACATTTTACAGGAAAAATAGCTGTTGTCACTTTTTTTTTTTAATTCACCAGTATAAATGAATAAACCACTTAACACTCAATCTGGCTGCCAATCATATAGCAGATACATATTAACCATACCACTTTTAATATTAACCATACCACTTCTACTGGTAACAGTATTAATACTCAGTATTTTCCTTATCATATTTATCTGCATGTAAAATAATTGATTACCAGTTCAAGTTCCCTTGCATTTGTGTCTTCTATTTTTTTAAATGATGTCAGCCCAGCATTTACCATAGCATTTGACAGTGATACACCTGTGAAAAATTTAAGTTTTATATTTTTAGATGACAATCACTAATCTCAAGTTATTCTCATCAACTGCATTATAGCAGGTAAAACCAAAGAAGAAATCATTTTATAGTATGTTTGTCCCTGCTTTTTTTTTTTTTAAGTGAAGCTGAAGACTAGTTCTTTTGTCATAATTCCTAAAATGGCAGAAGGGTTTCCACCAGTGAAGCAAACACAAGATACAAACAAGACTTTTTCTCTTAATCTATTTCTCAGCAAGAAAAAAACAGAGGTGGAAATCAAACTGAGCAAGTAGTAAAGGCGATAAGATCCTGTACGGTAACTGATTATTATCCTGTCTGTCAGAACAAGCAAACAGAAATCAAGCATATCATACAGCAACAAGACTGCATCATTATTGGACAAGAGTACCAAACTGAGATAGTTGCAGAAATGCAGCAAGAATTCAACTGAATCCTCAATCTCAGTAAGGCCAAATGTCAGTTAAGGAACAGTGACTCTTATCAAGGAAATACTGACTACCAAGGCTTTTTTAAGATTAAAAAAAAATATACTGAGATAAGAGTTTAAACATTAGGGATTTCTGAATATGTGAGCTCAAACAATTCACTTGACTTCAAAGACATAGAATAGGCTTAGCAGCCACAGAATGTCAGAGGTCAAGAATTGGACATCATAATACAGGCATCAATTCAGTATTTGATTGAAGAAAAGAGCGCGAACTGTCAGTAGACAGTTCAAGAGAAGCCTGTGAGTGAAACAAATGGAACTTTGAAAGTTACTAATTCATTGTAACATATGATGCAAGAGCAATGACAGCATGGGGGAGGGAAGAAAACAGGACAAAGATGTGTATATGTAGGACTTCTATTATTAAAAAAACTAAACCCAACTTTTTCTATTAAATATAGTGCACAGGAAAAGATTTGTCTACACTGCAAGTAATCCATTCATCCTAATGCCGTAGAAATGCTGAACACAAGGCAGACTCCTCGGATGACCATGTGCACATAAGCACAGATGCAGAAGTAATGAAAATGTCTTCTCACCACACTGTACTGTGCTGCGCACAAGCTAACAAGCCTTGTCCCTTGCTTTGAATCCACGTGAATGAAGCAATACAGCTTCTGCACCTGAACTGGCAAGGCTGTAATGTACTGTACCATATAGATCTTCTGCTTAGCTATTCTCTAATTTGCAGATCTCCGAACTATACTGTTCTGTACAGAGCAGATGCGTCTTTAAAGAAGAATTACAGAGAACGCTGCAGTGAATTCTGAAAACATGAACGTATGGTAAGACTAGACATCGAAGCAGGAAGCTATAATATTATCTCAAACAAGTATAACTACATTTTCGGAATACAGAGGACTCCAAAATTTCTGAATTCCTTTTCAAATAATTACGACAAGCTTGTACTTCCAGAAAGAAGTTCATCCAGTAAAAGGATACAGTGACATGAGGATGATTATTAGAAACTTGTGATCCTCATGTGTAGAAAAACCTCATACACAGTAAATTGATTTCTATTTCATGATTCCTATGCATGTCAATGCAAATTAGGTGTCTTTCATGCATACAAGTAACAGGACCTACAGTGACAGCTATTTGGAAAAGAAAGTATAGCCTAGTCAAAGATATGTAATCACACAAATGTGGAATATGCCCAAGATACTGAGATGAACATTAAGGAAAAAAAAAACAACAACTATGAAATACTTTGAAAGCCTGAAGGAAATCACTACATGGATTACTTTTATCATGACAGACTATTCTGACAACGCGGTACTCAATTGTGGCAAATGGAGTAATTAGGAGATTCATTTAATTACATAAGCAGACACCCCAGAAATTAGCAGGCTAATTATGAGGTTTGATTCTCTATCAGATTACACCTTTATCATTTCTGACTAGTACCTACCAATTTTTTCCAATTGTTTCGATACATGAAGTGAATTTTCCCAAAGTTTGCACCTGAAACACTTTGCTAAAATCAAAGAGTTTAAGAAAGCAAAAAAGTTGTTCTTAGATGATGCCAGAAAGTCAGATAACCCTGTAAAAATAAGATTGACTTGTATTAATCAAATAAAACATAGCTTATTATTATATGTACCAAAAAATGATCAAATTTTACCATACATCTAGTAACCCTTAAGCCACTTCTAAATATTCTGCCAGTATCTTGTGTCAAAGTAAAGTCTTGAATAGGAATGCATCCTAGCTGAGCCTGAATAAGACTGGAAAAAAAATATTTTTTTATATATAAGCCACACATTGTAAGCAAAGTATAACAACATAAAAGTTTCTACTGGAAAACAAAAGAAAATTCAGAATAGAAACAATGAAATGCCAGATCTAGTCCTCTATAAAATGACACAGATTTTAGCAGGGACTTCAACAGCCATAAAATGACAGCTTTTCAACAAGTAGTAACACCACAATATAGTATTTACCAGTTTATTTTCATTTCTCTTGTTTTTATCTTCCCCTCCATTGGAAACCTATGCATGAAAATATACATATTTTCTGCTATTCATTTTATTTATTGCTAAAAAGATATTTTCCTTTTTCAATATATTTATTTTTTATACCTGATAGTTATTTTGTCCTTGTCTTTATTCAAACTGTTCAGTATTTTCTTTTCATTTGTTCTTAACTTGACATCCAGAAATTCTGTGCAGTTGGAGATCATTGTAATCTGTAACAATTTAACTTTTTTATTAATTGTTTTTATTTGCCATTTTTTCTACCACTTCTTCCAACTGTTTTTTTAAAAAACGCTTTAAAAAATTGTCCCAACACTATGACCATGAAAAGACGGTCAATCAGTTATTTCTATTACTGACCAACTTTCTTTCATCTTCCTATAAAAAATAAAATCAACCACACTGCTAACACTTTATGACATACAAGGCAAATAAAAATAGTTTTTACTATCTGTTATGTATTTTACTTTACTTTCTTCATACTTTAGTAACAAAGATAGCCATAAGAGAACAGGCATTCCATTTTCTCATGGTCAATAGTACTTGCTTGAAAACAATGTCTTTTGTGACTTAACAGTAGCAATAACAACCTATTATCTGCCAGAGGAAAATTAGTTAAAACAGAAAGACAGTAACATTCCTTTAAACGTAAAATCTGCTTTCCATGCAGCTGGTTTTTGCAATAAAAAAATAACTACTAAAGCACAAAATAATACAGTGTTTAATACATGAACAGAACAGCTTCGGCAACTTTGTATCTTCATAAGCAAAGTTAGTGAGGGGAGAAAGAGTTGGAAATCAAAAGATCTCAGAGTACAAAGGTTCAAAAGTACTCCACATGGAATTTAGTTAGATGTATTCTCTAAAATTTTATACTTTACATAAACAAAGTCTGGACTCTTTAAAAGAAATAAAAACTTCTGCTTCTTAGCTTTAAGTCTGTTTAAAAATCAATTGAACATATGTAAATTTTCTTTAAAAAGTTGTATTACCAATTCATTTAAAGTCTCTGTTCCCTTAATCATGAAAAACTGTTTCACTGTATCAAATGCAATATAATACCATGCCATTAATCTTCCAGTCTCTGTAAAAGAACATACCGTAAAATATAAATGTGCCATTTTTTTTTAGTTTAAGTCACAAAATTGAATTCATTACCTTATTACAGGGCTCTATGAGATTTACCACCACTGACTCAGTGTGTTATTGCCCCCAGCTGTCTGATGGGTATTACTGACCCCATCAGAGAGCAGCAGAAGGAAGCACACGGCAGTTACAGTTTTCTCCAACGGAGATGAACTCACACTAATCTACTAGACTGTGAACTGTGGTTTCTGAGAAGCCTACCACCTCTTGCAGAGGATTGTAGAAAAGAGCAGGTATTGATAAAACCTATCCTTCATTGCACTGTGTCACATCCAATTATCCTGTGATAATGTTCTGTAATTTTCTCCTAATCTGCAACAAAATTTCCAGCAACAAGTGAAGATCTATTAATGGATCAACAATAAGAGAATGAAACTTCCATGGTTTGTTAAAGAAACTTGCTCATATATTCTAGTCAAACTCTCAGATTCTACCCTCTACTACATTCGCCTACTCCTATTAATGGGTCACAAGAATACTTGTGATCCTTTGTAGTTCACTACTATCTCAACATTGCTTCTGAAAATTAGTTTATTTAAAAAAGTGTTACCAGTTGGTTTGAAATTATTCGCTTCATCCATCCTGATCAAATCAAAAGATGATAAATCATTTAAGTTCTTCAAACACAGCTCTGTTGACAATTTGAAAATATATGTATTTTTAGTACACACAGAAAAACGTATCTATGTAAAAAGCAGAAACATCATCATCAAATTGCAATTAATGTATACCCAAGTAATTCCACTGAACTCAAATAACGGTTTTAGAGTATGATCCTGCTTCTACTAAAGTTGGTGGTTAACTTCTGCCTGGGGAAAGCTCACGCAAAGATATTTGATACAGGATAACCCAACTCTTTTTCAGGAAAGCAAAAGTGCCAAAATAAAAGAAACTATGTGCACAGAATGTAGGCTGCCATATTCAGAATGACAGGCTGCAGAGTCCACAGTATTTATACAAAACATTTCCACTACACCGTTAACACTTAAATGGTTGAAATTTCAAATATCCACAGGTATTTATGAATCCTTCATCAGAAATCTTCATACTGTATCAGATGTATTTGTATTTACTTCACTAAACCTACTTAGTTGGATATCTGCATGAGGATGACCAAGTGTTTTGTTTCTCTCTCTTTCAAAACCAAGGTAATTAAAAGACAAAAATTACATAATACAATGTTCAGAATTTAAAAAAAGCACTCAAAGTGATAGTTCCCATAGCAACCAGAAATCATTCCTATTGCATATGAAATGTATGAAAACATAACTATATACATTACTACACAATACTTCATGTGTGCAGGGAAGGAACTAGTTTCTGTAACAACTTTAGAACACTAGAGGTTGTTTTTAAGATCAGAGCACTTCAAGGAAATATATTCCACACCTACAAAGCATTTGTAAGTGAAGCCTTCTACCCTAGCACTATCTGTAGAGGTGATTTCAAACCATGCCTTCTCCCACATAAAGGCTTATTAAGGTAGTAACACACTTCATTCCCTCCATTCCTTTCAACCTACATGCGAAAAATAGAAGTGTCCTGATCTAAAAGACAGGAAAAGGCAGAAAAAACCTGAATGAGCATGTAAACTAGGTAACTTTTCTTACTGGTAAGTTCAAAAGTATTAATAATTAAATAAAATCAATAGCACAACATAGTAAATTACATTTGTTCTGTGAATGGATCTACTGAAATTAATGGAGATGTATAATAAACATGGATAAGCCTGCCCTGAAATGTGACATTTTACTGAAAAAAGGCTTAAAAGCTACTTACCTTGTAATTTTGCTTCAATTCCTATTTTATCCAATCCAGATGAAAAACCTTCATTAAAAGACAAAAAGCTTTTTAACCTAATACAACTATATACTTCATCCTCAATATCAATACCCATCAAAACTGATTTGCTTACACACAGTGTATCTAAATATCAGTAAGTGGCTGTCAGAACAGATGTGCAAAGGTCAAAGCTGCAGATATTCCCCTATGTAAAATATGAGTCCTAAAAGTTGCAAAAATGTCAGTGAGCAACTTCACATGTAGAGCTTTTCTATTTTAGAATACAGACAGCCACCTAAACTGTAACATCCATTCAAGTACTAGATGTACTATGTTCCAGTCCCATCCATAAATCCTTAAAAAAAAAAAAACTGTCTCCAGCAAGTGCCCAATGACTTCAGAACCAGGTGTAGAAGAAGCAGCCAGGAACAAAGACATGGTCAGGGCTGGGGACCAAGAGGCTGTTCTGGACAAGACAAATTGAAGACACCAGTATTAAAATTATTGAAATTTTGTTTTGGAAAAACTATGAAATATTAGACAATATTTTTTTCTTAGCAGTAATTACATATTCAGCGCTGAAATGTACATTAAGGCTTGATGATGCATTAATATACATGGTCCAGTGTATTAAAGATCAAAAGAAATAGATCATTATGAAGCTGTAAACAGCTTCTTACAGAGTTTTTGAATGTTATACCATGCTGAAACTCCTATTACTTATATTAAAGCAACGGAAACTGTTGTTCCTAAAAATGCTACTGGCCATATCACACATCTTGATTTCAACCCATTATGAAATAACAGTCCATAAGAAAATAAAAGAAACAAATAATATGGATCCAACACATCCTAGTGTCATAATTTAGATCAATTAAAAAAAACCCACAACAAACCATAATGAGTCGGATTTTTTAAGGCTCTAATGTACAGGAACGTTGATCGTATCCATTCCAAAGCTACAGTGACATCTGTGACAGTATGTAGCACTATTTCTGCATTTAAGTGCTCAACAAGATGTCTGTGCAAGCTATCAAAAAAAAAAAAAGGTATGTACATTTACCAGTTAGTATTACAAAAAGTGCTAAAACTATTTTTTGGGAACAAACCAAACCCTGCCAACTAAAAAAACCACAACAGTTTTCTGGTTTTTTTTAGTTGTTTTGTTTTTTACTGTCAACTGCTTGCTTTAATCAGTGAAATCAATAGAAAACAGTAAAGAATATGTCAATAATCAATGTAATTAGTTTATTATGGCTTAATGTCCAGCAAGCACAAATAGAAAAACTCTTTCAACTGTGAAGTTTCACAATTATTTAGAAAACAAAGCTACATACATTTTAAAGTTACAGCACAGTGTTGGTATTTTGGATATATTTGAAAAATTAAACATTAAAAAAATTACACAAGCAAAATTTCCTGGTTTACCCTTTAATGTCTTAACTCTCCTACATATTTCTCTTGATAGGCTGTCCACATCGAGTGAATTCTATAGTCTGGTATTTTCCAGACTCTATCATCTAAAAATTCAGAGCACGATCTGGGTTCAGCTCTTGCTTTTTGTCTTTGCAATATGTACTATTTCAGTTTCTTCAGTTTTCCAGCAGGAA